GAAATGTACATTACAAACCCGTGTCTATAAGTTGCTTTCTTTGATATTTATAGTACTTTTTCACAAGAGCCTGTTAATTTACTCGTGTCAGCTATGCTACCGGGACTGTCACAAGAATTTTAATAGTTATGTCTGAAAATATGAAAGAAATCTTAATAACTTAATATATGACAAGCTGTTTTAAAAATCTCAAAGTAAAAAAGGCTCCATCAACGGTATCACGAACGATTCCATCAATTGTGAATATAAATCTCATAGTACATTTAATTTTCATTTATACCTATATCGAACTTGATGCAAAAAGGGTTTGGTAGAATATTGCTATGCCGATAGGTAGACACATAAAATATTCAACTATACATTTTTATTTATATAAGATGAGCATATTATTATATAACACATTACCCTTAAACAAACAGAAGGAGCCCCTTTCAAAAAAATTAACGAAATGGTTATTTTAAAATTGTGTCTATGGCCTAAAAGAAAATTAAGAATGGAAAAATTAGTTTAATTATTTATGTGCTCCACTTATAGATAGTTTTTGTTTTAAATATTTGCACGTCTGAGAGCAGACTAAACACATGTACCTGTCTACATTATAGATATTTAACTGAAGACTCTGTCAACTGTGTTTTATGCAAAGTACCCGGATGACCGAGCTTTGCTCGGTATATTTTTTTTTGGAAACCGTGTTTTTTAGAAATTATATTTAGATAAAAATTACATACTGATGAAATATGTATAATATTTTTCGTTCTTACAGACATAATAAATAAAACTGAACTGGTTATTTAAATAAAAATCATCTTAATTTAATTATTTGTGTTTTTAAAAAAATACTAAAAGAGAGCTCGAAATAAAAAGGGAAAGGGAACTTGAAAAAAGATGAAAAAAGTCATACCGATAAAATCTTATCACGATTTCGGGATCGACTGATATCCCACTTGAGCTATTATTACCTGTAAGATACTGTCAAAATTTACCTTCGTATGCTAAGATTTAGAGCAATTTTTTATTGCTTGAAAACACGGATAAAACGACAGTTTCTAAAAACGTATCCTAGCTAGATCGATTTATTGCCCCCGAAACTTCCTGCACACTAAATTTCATGAAAGTCGTTTCCGAGATTCCGATTATATATATATATATATATACAAGAATTGCTCGTTTAAGGGTAGGTACTAATATTATCAAGATAAAGACTTTACATTTGTATTTGCAACAATAGCACTAGAAGTTGCAATGTCGTGTTTAGTTGTTAATATCGCCAAACAATCTCTTCATTGACTTGGTCAAGCTTTATCATCTTATAGTCAACAAACACTGTTAAATTTTATGAAATACCGCCATTTTACTTTCAATAATCGACTAAAAATCTTTTAATTGAAATTATAAGGATAACAAGAGTTTTGTACTAATTGCAATTTTTATCAATTTATTTATAGATAAAAAACTAAATACTAAAACTTTTTATTGTTTAAAAATTTAACTTAGAAAAACATCGTTAAATTTATGATTTTCGATAGATGTCATTATTATCTTTTTAGTAGTAATTTTTTACGCCATCCATATTTGGCGCACCTGGAGGGATGAATTTCCATTGCACGCCGATCTTCTCTGCTTCTGAGGTGAGGTCTTCTTGCTGCAAGGTGTCCAACGCTTCTTTTATTTCTTTGTTGGCGCCGACGAAGTTAGTCCCGTTGTCGCTGTAAATTTTCTTAGGCATCCCTCTTCTTGCGGCGAATCGTCGCAGCGCCATGATCATGCTGTCGGTGGAGAGCGAAGGAGTTAGCTCAATGTGCACAGCACTTGTTGTGAGGCATGTAAATAGAGCCCCCCATCTCTTTTCGTGCCGTCTTGCCACGGTGATTGTCATCGGGCAGAAGTAGTCCACGCCCGTGCACGTAAAAGGAGGATATCCGTGCATCAGCCTTTCCTCCGGTAAGTTGCCTGTTGGTATTTCTTGAGGTCTTGCTTTCCTTGTTTTGCACCATTGACATTGATGCTGAACCGACTTGATTGCTGACCTTAGACCGAGTACCCAGAAGCGTTGTCGTATTTCACTCATCACCATCGCGTGATTTCCATGATTGAAGCGGCAGTGGAATTCTTCTATGATGAGTTGTGTTGTCTTGTCCCTGCTGTCGAGTACGATGGGTCGTTTGTAGTCCCTAGTCACAACCTGTATCGCGTCGATTCTTCCTTTTAGCCGCAGTAGACCCTCTTCTAGTACTACGTCGAGCTTTTTCAATTTACTGCTGCCCTCTAATTGCTTCCCTTGCTGAAGGCGCTTGATGTCTTCTCTGAAACTGTTGTCTTGGCTTCTTTTCAGCAAAAGAGTTTCAGCTTTCTCGAGTAGTTCGGTGTCCATCGGTATATATTTCCTTTCTGTTATTTTTGAAGATCTGTGTTGCTTCTCTACAGTCTTCGTTCCTTTTCTTTGTGTCATTTTCCAGGTGGGATCATTTTGGCAGACGTTGACCTTTTCATTTTTTCTACAGAGTTGTAAGAACTGCAGTACTCTCGCTGTGGCTCTCCAAAGCATCTTCCATGAAGAGAATCCCTCCGGGTCTGGTGATGGATGAGATGTTTGTGTTGTTGCTGCGACGTCCGCTGCTCTTTCTTCGCCGGTGATTGTTTTCTTGAAAGTTCTTGGTGCCGGCCAATGTGCCTCTTCTTTTTTCAGGAAGCTTAGTCCGGTGTACCATCGGTGGTTGCAGTTGAAATCTTCCGGCACGTCGCGTGTTGCGTCATCTGCAGGATTCCGCGCTGTAGGCACCCATCTCCAGTCTTGCGGTTTGGTGAGGTCCTCTATCTCCGCTAAGCGATGAGCCACGAACGTCTTGAAGGTTCTCAGGTCTGTTTTTATCCAGGAAAGTAGTCTGTCCAAAATGTTTCCTTTGTTACTTTTAGGTCCAATTCTTCTTCATCTGAATGAGCCAGTCTGCTTCCTAGGAGAGCTGCCTGTAGTTCAAGTCTCGGGATGGACACTGGCTTCAGTGGAGTGACTCTCGCCTTTGCTGCCACTAAGCTTACGTGGTAATTTCCATCTTGCCCTTCTGTCCTCCAATAAACTGCCGCTGCGTACGCCAGCTCGCTTGCATCAATGAAAGTGTGTAGCTCCCCCTCGGTGCAATGTGGCGCCAGGCATCTCGGAACTTGCAGGCCTTGGAGCAGCTTCATCTTCTCCAGGTAGATTTTCCGTGCTTCGTACTCCCTTTCTTTTATTTCGTCATCCCAACCGACTCCACTTCGCCATATGTTCTGAAGCAGCTTCTTGCCTTGGATGAGAACTGGTGATGCTAAACCAAGCGGATCAAAGGTCGACATTACTGCGCTGGTAACTTCCCTCTTCGTAGGCACCTTGAGTCTCCTTGCTATTTCTTCTGGTGTATTTCGGAGGTTCGCCCTGAAGCCGATGGAGTCCCTTTTGGTGAACCAGCGCAGTCCTAATGTCTTCTCTTCCTTCTCGCCTAGGTCCACTTCTGTCTTCTCAGTAGTGTCGATCTTCACGTTTTGCAGCAGCTCGGGTTGATTTGACGCCCATTCCCTGAGTTCGAAGCCTGCCTTCTTGTGTATGAAGTCCACCTGCGTCGTCACTTTTCTAAAGTCTTCTTCTGAGTGGAAGCTGTGCAGGTAATCGTCCATGTAATGGTTTTACTCGACCGCCCTTGCTGTCTCTGGATATTGCTCTTTGAAGTCCGCTGCGTTTCGGTTCTTCACATAGATTTCGGTGCTCGGAGATGATGTTGCGCCGAAGATAACCGATGTCATCCTGTACTCCTTCGGAGGTACGTCGCGACGAGCCCCGCGCCACAAAAACCTCAGGCTATCTCTGTCTTCTGGTCGAATGCGAACTTGAAGAAACATTTATTTGATATCGGCTGCCACAGCTAGCGGGCCCTTTCGAAACCTTAGTAGTATCCCGAAGAGCGACTGTAGTAGATCTGGTCCTGACAGTAGAGTATCGTTGAGGCTTCTTCCCTTTGACTTGGTTGCAGCGTCGAAGACGATCCTTATCTTTTTCTTCAGTGGATGTACTACGGAGAAGTGAGAGAGGTACCATTTCTTCTTGGAATCCTTTTGAGTCCTAGGTGCTTCTTCTGCATACTTGCTGTCGATAAGATGCTGGATCTGCTTGATATATTCTGCCTCCAGCTGAGGGTCCTTATCCATCTTCTTTTCAATATTGAACAACCGGTTCTTTGCAGACGAGTAGCTCTCAGGCATTTGTTCATCTTCATTTTTCCATAAGAGTCCAGCTTCGAATCGTCCATCTTCAAGTCGTCTGCAGGTTTTCTCTAGAATGGCGAGTGCTCTTCCTTCTGAGTCTGTGGTGGGTCTTCGTGGTTGCACACCAAGCGCCTCGATTGCAAAGTGGTCCTTGATGGATTGATGCATCTCCTCATCGGTGTGCTGATATGTAGACATGTGTTCATGAAGTGTACTACTCTTACAGCCCCGGTGTCTGATCCGTGGAGCACCCATCCAAGCCATGTCCTTGAAGCAACTGGTTCTCCTGGTTTCCCTTTCTTTACTTCTTGAGTCACTATCAGCGCCCAGTTGTCTTGACCGATGAGCAGCTGTGGTGATTCCCCTTTATAATAAAGAGAGTCGGGGATCTTTTTCAAATGTTGGCATTCTTCTATCCTTTTCTTCTCTAGGAACTGTGGTGCAAGCTTCAGCTCGTTGATAGCTCGGACTCTCTTCAAGGTCTTCTTGCTTCCTTGATGAACCCCCTTTACTACAAGGTCCAGCGTCTGAGAATCCTTCTTCTTAATTTGCCTGCCTCCTACTGTCTCGATAACCAGCTCCTCCTTGTTACCTTCAGCGCCGACTTCTTCTGCCACCTTTGCATCAATAAGCGACACTGTTGACCCTTCATCCATGAGGGCCAATATTCTTTTGGATCCTTTTGGCCCGAAGACTTCTACTGGAACTATCTTCAGTTATGCCCTTACGTTGTTGACTGCATTCACTGATGTCATGACGCTTGCTATTTATTTTTGTGTTTCCGTCTTCTTCTCTCCCGAGGTCATGTTTTCTGATTCTACGTGCAGCAAATGATGATGCCACATCTTGCATTCCTTATATGGTGGTTTCTTGCAGCTCTCCTTTCGATGTTTTCCTTGAAGACATTTGAAGCAAACGTGACTTTTCTTTACTGTTACCCATCGATCTTGCACTGACGTCTTCTGGAACTTCTGGCGGTCAACGAGGAAGTGTCCACCTTGGCACATAGGACAAGTCTTTTCTGTTGACTGTCTTGTATCTTTTTCTTTAAAGTCCTTTTCCCTCGTAGAATTCGTCGTTTGTCGATGAGTTCTTCTGAACCCGCTCTTCTCTTCTGAGGTCGCGAAGGCTCCACATTTGGCTTCTTCGCTGTTCAGGAACTTGGAGACCATCGTCAGGTCGGAGAACTCGCCCTCTTCTGTTGCTGCCGTAAAGTCATACCATCGGAACTTCAGGATTGTAGACATTTTTTCTATAATTTGCTTTACCATTTCAGGTACTGCGGTTTCTTCAAACCCTTTATTGCTGCTACGCTGTTGTTGATTTGGCTCGCAAAGACGCATATATCTCTTGGATTTTCGGAAATCTTTGGTAACGCCCTAACTTTGTCCAATTCAGCCAGCACCAGCGTATCAGGTCTTCCATATCGTCTCCTGAGGGCTACTGGAGGCACACGGGAGGGCTGGTGTTTGCCTGCTTTAAACACAAAAAGTTGGCTTTTGTTAGCGTTATATTTAAGCCCGTGTGTTGTTCCGCATATGTCTCACATATTGACTATAAAGTCCTCAGTGCATTGATTGAGGGACTCAACAGCACCATGTCGTCAGCATAGCTTATATTATTGAAGCAGATATCGTCAATATGACAGCCGACATGAGTACTACTGAGTCGCTCAATAAGCTGATTGACATACAAATTAAACAATAGAGGCGAGCTTAACCCCCCCTGTCTTACACCACATTGCAATCTATATTCATTCGAAAGCGTACCGGCCCATCTCACTTGATTTTTCTGGTTTGAATCTGAATTTGAGGAGGGAGATGCACTCCATCAGCACACCCGCACACCCCAACTTCTCCCATAAGCGGTCATAAATTACGCGGTCAAAGGCTTTTGACATGCCGAGGAAGCAAGCGAATACTGGAGTCCTTCTCTTCGTACAATAGTTTACTGTATGTTTCAAGCTCAGAATAGCACTCTCGGTAGATAATCCGGCTCTAAACCCGAACTGGGCATTATTCAGCTTTACATGTTTTTCGAGATTGCTATTCAAGAGACTGTCAAGCAACTTAGCTGTTGTTGTAGCAAGTGAGATAGGCCGATAATTATTTTTATCAGAAGTGTCACCAGTCTTATTTTTAAGGATCGGTACCACAATAGTGCGCATTAAAGCCTCAGGTAAGTAAGAGTGACATAGACATAAATTAATCGCGAGTACGCGCGGTAGGTGCACCCCAGCATACTTAAAATGTTCAATGCTGAGACCATCGTGACCGGGCGATTTGCCCCTCTTCATGTTTTTTATAACTGTCGATACATGCTTTGCTGAGAAGGACACCTTACGGTCCGTTACAATGGTCGCAGCATCGTTTACATTACAAGAAACTGGATCCGAGGACGACTGAAAACTAAAATGCTCGCTGAATAAATTGGCAATCATCTTATGATCGTGGACGCCGCCGACACTCACACGAAGCGTAGGTTTTACATTCAATTTATTGGTGTTCTTCCAGAAATTTTTGAAATTTTTTGCCGAATGATTTGAAGCAAGTAAATCCATTTGTAGTTGCTCTTGCCTGTCTTGGCACCATTTTAACTTTGATTTAAATTTTTTACGCGTTTCTAACATTACATTATAAATATTGCCGATTTTTGGTTTACCTGCTAATAACCACATCTGAAATTTAACTCAACGTATTTATTCCACTCAGTAATATAACCTTTATTTCTTGTACATTTTCTTTTAACATAGGTCTGCGAAGCTGATTCTGATAGAATACTAACAATCTCCCTATACAATTTGTCTAATATTAAGTAGTGACTTTTATTACTGCATGAGTAATCACAGACATTGGTCTAACTCTAACGGAAACTGCCTATCTCCCCATATTATACATTTTTTGGACTCGCCAATTGGAACATCAATTTCAACTTTCTGATTTAATTTGTATAGGTCACATTCAATTATGAGCGGAGAGTGGTCCGACCAATATACGTCGTGTTTCACCGACACTTTATTAATCGTCGTCCGTGCAGATTATGATGTTTTTATTTCGAGCCGAAACCTTAGGAGCCTTTATTTATTAAAAGTTTCACATAACCCTTACAATTTATACATCGTTAGATTGCTCTAGTACTGTTCTATAATATAAAATAATAATATAAACTATTAAGTTCTTTATACAAAACTTCTAGAGCAAAAAACCCTACAAAATTGTTAATTTACTATACATTTTATCTTATATTTATTGAAACAGATGTCTGATCTACTTATTTCTTTTTGTTTATATTATGTTACATTTAAACCTTTAATCTAACACTAGTTTTCAAGCGCTAAACCAAACTTAAATTTTTTAAAAGTATTTACAATACAAATTTTCTCTTAAAAACTTTGTGGCGGCGTTGTCGTCGCGCCACAAGCGAAATACACCGAAGCCTAAATCACGCTATCAACATTCCGAATCATAAACAGTATATATAGAACATCTCCGAACTATCACACGGAGTGTCGGCCGCTCCCCGGGCAGAACACCTTGCCCGGCGGGAGATCTCCCCTTTTCCTTATACGGCCACAGTGGTGACCCTGACGTGATCTGAACACGCAACCAAACAACCTTCGAAAACTTCAAGCTTCATCATCGTCATAGAATACCCCACCTATTCGCTCCCGAGCAGATATCGTCTGCAGTCTTTCATATCCTGCAAGCCATCTAGCTTCACAAGGTTCATCGCAGCACTGGAATAATAATGCTTCCTGTTCCTTAAAGCTACTCTCTGCGCCATACAGTGTTCGGCACGGCTCTGGGCCTTACTGCTCGCCTCTGCTTCACGGCACTCTCGCAGATTACTTGCCTTCTTCTCGACTCACCGCAGACTACAAGGCAATCTCGTGGCAATTGCACATTCGTCGACAACGAGACTGCACTATCGACCTCCGGTCTGAGCAGGGGGTGATGTGGTGGCGCTGTTGTCGTGCCACAAACGAAATACACCGAAGCCTAAATCACGCTATCAACATTCCGAATCATAAACAGTATATGTAGAACATCTCATCTCACACGGAGTGTTGGCCGCTCCCCGGGCAGAACACCTTGCCCGGCGGGAGATCTCCCCTTTTCCTTATACGGCCACAACTTCATTACAAAATTATTATTAAAAGCTAACCTTTAAATTTTATAATTATATTTAAATTAAATTCTAATATGTGTTTAGGTGGTAACTCCTGACTAACTGCGTGTACGCATGTCGTTTTCTAGTCATTCGCTCTCGTCGTCATACTCGTACTTTACGTAGGCACGGTAAATCCAAGAGTTACCTATTTTATTTGATACCTAAGTTAACTTACTTACTTACTTGTTTTATTTTACTATTTAGGAAAATATGTCACTTAAAATTGTGTAAACCAAAGAGAAAGGGAAAAATTGACTTTTCATTGTACCAGGTTTGTGGGAATTAAAAGGCGTTTTAAGATGGCAAAAAGCGTTTAGGTGCTAACAAATTAGTCAAGGATGAAAATTATATGCCTTTATAGAGTAGGGAATGAAAAATGCCTTTACACAGTGTCGTGTGAAAAGGCTATCAAAATCGTCATTTGAAGAAGCAGAAAGAGAACTAGATAGTATGCTTAACAGAAGCGACACCGACATTGATGATGAGAGAAAAAGACAAAAGGCTACAGTTACAAGTAAAACGAACTGTGACAACAACGTTTGATGTTTTTGCTTTATGCTACGAAACCCCCTTTTTTAGACCTCGCATCGATGGGATTGACGCTTGACTGTAGGTTGACTGTTTTATTAAAGTATTTCTATATTCTTCAGTATCATTATTTATCACACCAAATCTTTTTCTTTTTATACCAATATGTTACATATTGGTAACAAATTAATTTGTGCACTAGCACAATATATATATATATATATATATATATATATATATATATATATATATATATATATATATATATATATATATATATGTTAAACATGCAATAAATACCCACACCATTGTTCAGAAATAATATTTGAATGATACTACAATAACACTTAGAGCTGTTAATATGCAAGAGACACCATGCAAAAAGCATCTTCTACCAGCTTTATTAATTTACACTTTAATCTGAATTTAATTTATCATTAAATTCAGATTAATTAATTAACTAATAAACCATTCTTATAAGGATACAACCTCTTTTCGACACTCTTATACGCCTCTAACATAACTTTAAGTTCTATGTGGGCTGGTATATTGATAGTCATAATGCTTGGGTGCTGCTTGGGTTGGCGTCCAATTTTCTTTAGAACTACAGTTCCACAATTACGCGGAAGGGCGGGCTAAACTGTCATCCAAAAATATTGGTATGCTCAGTAGATTGAGACAGTATTACATGCCGGACTTTACGCCCTTTAACTTCAAGTTAGTAGGTAGTATTGATATATTTATTTCATAATTTGTTAGTAAAAATAAGTTGATAAATTAGAAAAATTTATGGCATTGGCTGCTATTCGTTCATCTATAATTATATATTAGAATCCAAATTTTCCCGACAGTAAGAATAAAGAACCGGTATATTATTTGAAGAAATATTTAAATTAAAAGCAGTTTTACACTTATCGGTCTCAGTTTATATTTCCGGTCGTAAATTCCGTTTTTTTAATGGAAGTGGCCAAAACAAAGTGATAACCGTCGCCCATGAATATCTGCCACCCTGCCACCGGTTCGGAGATGAGAACAGTATTCCATATAAGGCCGAACTTGGGCTTTGTAAACTGCAAGCGGGGCAGCCGCAGTTTCTTTAACAGATTTAGTGAAATCATTAAGCATTCCATTAGGTCTTGTTTTTCTCTCAGTGCTTCAAGAGACGTGTGAATTAAAATGGCCTTTAGCTTCAACGATTGGTGGTACACCTGAGAGGCTGCGTTACTGACATTGTGCGATAGAGAATTGATTCGCAGCTCAATTGTTCAGAGTTTAGTTTTCGATTTAGATCATCCAATTTTTCATGTCACCGGTGGCAAAAAATTTAATGGATTCTGCAGCATTATGGTGTTATGGTTGAGACGTGCTCGGCGGACTTAGAGATGTAATGGTGCTGCGGTTAAAAGGGCTATTTTCGTATGCATTAGGCATGTTTTCTCTCCAATGTTTTTTATTATAATTTGTTATTCACTACTATAAAATCATAACTTCGCCGAAATTGTCCAGTGGCTTATCTAGGTCACAATTTTATTAAACATATTTAAACACTTGTAAAATTGCTAATAGGCATGACTACGACTCGAGCTCCGTAAGCAAATGCTCTTAAAAGAAGAAAATAAACTTTAAACTAAATCAAACTATCAATTTATTACATTATTTAGACATAAAAGTCTGGTTATAAAAAATTTCGCGACAAGTTTTAAATTATATAAATTGTGTAATGTAATAAATTCATGGGTTTGATTTAATTTGAAGTTTATATTTCTTTTTAGAGCAAATCCATAGAAGCTTGTTTTTAAAAATGTTTTTTACTATTAATTTATTACCACTATTTTTAAAGTACGTTTAAATTCGAAACAATAGATCCTGTTTGTTCTTGCTTCAAATCTGAAAATCATAAATAATTCAGTATTTTAGTAACAAAGCAAGAACATTCTTCTAAAAATCAACACAATCAAAAAGACAAAGCAGCGGGTTCACTCCTGAGCACTTTTCAACTTAACAAAGCTTTCTTCTTAACGAGGAAACTGAAACACATACTCACACCAACCTGACATTTATATGTCTTATATTGTAACTTAGAACGGGCTAAAAAATATATAACAATACGGGTAAATTAAATCTTATAACTTATGTTCAATTAAAATAATGCACGATGTTTCCAACTACTGACTAAACCTAGTTAAAACTGATATCTCTAAATTAGCCTAAACTGAATAAATTATTTTTCGTTGATATGACTTGAACTTCAATTTGACTTCGCACTTGAATTTAACTTCACTTTGACCTTAATTAGACTTTTAATTTTGTACACCATAAAATTTATATAATTCACCAAGTAACTACATGCAATAAATGACACATTTTGTTTTCTAACATTAGTTTGGGCGGCGAGAGTAAATACATAATCAATAATTATAAAACCGGGAAAAATAATATACTCGTAAAACCGGAACAAACTTGTGTTTGAAGTAGAGTCCTTTTTAAACGAAGCCTAAGGTTGGAAACTAAATCTAGTCCAGTCTAACCTTCATAAGACAGGTTTGCGCATTTACCGCTAAAAGAACCCCTTTGTCGTGTCTTCTCAATTTCAGGACACTCCCCTTACTGTCACTGCCAACATCAGAATCCTCGGGGTCAAATTACTGAATGACGTGCAGTTTCCTAGTCACTTGGAATGAAATATTAACTTGACCTCTAAAAAGCTTGGCGCGCCCCGCAGAGCGGGACTGATTTCATCCTGGCTTACCGCTTGTAACTTTACAAGGCGCAGGTTTGGCCTCACATGTAATACTGTTCTAATCGGGATGGAGCACACGAGTTCAACCTTCTTTCACTTGGCTGCAATCAGCTAAGACCGGCCCGACTCGCGAACCGTTTCGAACCGAGTTTTTTTTATCAACTCGATTCACCGGCGCTGCGAAAATATCCCTTTTCTATCGTATTTACCACAGGGAGTGTTCTGAGCAATCGTAAGGAATAATTCCAATAAGTTTAAGTTTATATTACCCTTATTATGTAAAAGAAACTCAGTCATTATGTATGTTTCAAGTGGCTACAATTTCTCGTCAAAATACCCTTGGGTAATTTTTATTTAATCATGTGTGTTAGAACGCAAAAAAAACCAGGGAGTATGTGGTAGGTTTTATTTAATTTTATAACACAAACTTTTTACACAAGTTCATTGATTCCCTGGCCCTTAATTTGTTAATTTGCTCCTAGAAAATTTTTAGTTAATGGCGTATGGCATGGCGTTGAGTTTCCATATGCCTGAGCTATTTGATTAAAATTATATTAAAAGAAATACTACATGTTTTTTATATAAGTATAAACACTCACACCTATCACCCAGAGGGGTAGGCAAAGACTACATACTTCCATTTGGCACGATCATGACACACCTCTCTCGCTTCCTCCGCATTCATATACCTACGCATATATGCTCGTTAGTTAAAGTTAAGGGTACTCCTAATTTGGCCCGTTTTCAACATATCGCCAATTTGGTCGATAAATTTCCGCCTAGGACGTCCCTTTCCGATTCTCTGCGATTCACTTCTGAAACATAAATTTACTTTGTCACTCTTTCCTCATTCATTCTTTCTACATGACCAAACCACCGAAGCGTTCCTTTCTTAATCCTGGTCACAGCATTATCTTGCAAACCACACTACTTCTCTTATTACACAATTTCTTACCCTGTCACTCAGATTCAGCCCTAATATTATTTAATTCTACTCTCGTGCTTCTTCTGCCACACCCAACTTTCACTAACATATGTTAAAGTAGAGGCTAACACAGCATTGTGCATTGCCATACGTGCCTTTTTTGATACATTTTGACTTTTCACAATAGTGTGCAGAGCCCCATTTACTCTATTTCTTGCGTTCACTCGTCGTTCTATATCCTTTTATATCTCCCATCCCTGCTTACCAGCAAATTTACTTTCGAGCAACTCCCCTTATATTCTTATTTCACATATCGTTTTACTTTCTTCTCTTTCAAAAAGCATAACTTTCGTCTTACTTGCGTTGACTTTCATACCCCTTTCTTTTAATGACCTGTTCATTAATGTAACCATCATTTGCAACTCGGCCGCCGACGACGCAAGAATGAATTGATCATCGGCGTACAAAAGGCATTTGACGGTTAACTCAGCAATTCTTAGTCCGTATTCTTCAACTTTCAAACTTTCCAAACACTTTGTGTTAATGGCAAGGTCTGCATTTTGTAGGCATTGTTATTGTAAAAAATTGTCCATTAATAGGTTGAACAGCCACGGGAAAGACACACAACCCTGTCGATACCTTTATGGATGCAAAACCAGTCCGAGTAGACCCCGTTGATCCTAACACAAGCACTAGAGTCCCTATAAAGAGACTGAATGCCTGTATCAATCCAGCGCTGAACCCAAATGAGTTCAGTGGTTGCCATAAATCTCTGTCCACTCTGTCATAAGCCTTTTCCGAGTCCATGAACGCACAAAAAACTCTTTCATTTTTAGCCAAAAACTTCTCCGTGATCATGCACATGGTAAAGACTTGATCTGTACATCCCGTTTCTTTTCTAAATCCCGCTTGCACATCTCAAATGTTTCCATCGGTTTCTTTTGTGACCCTTTCAATTAGTACCTTAGTATACAGTTTTCCCACAATGCTGAGAAGGCTGATACCACGGTCGTTTTTACAGTCCTTCTGCGACCCTTTTCCCTTATATATTGAGACTATTACGGCTTAGCCCAGTCTTCCGGTACCCGCTTCAGTTTCCAGCACAAATGAAACAAGGTGTACAGCAGGCCTGCCACCACTTCTTCTCCAGCCCTAAGCATTTTGAGAGAAACTCTATCATATACGGCTGCCTGACCTGCTTTCGTGCTTTTCATTGCTTTAATTATTTCATCTATCCTTATCTCCCTACCTCTTTCCTCTTCTTTCGAAATTTCTATTTCATTTAGGTCATACGTCTTCTCCTCACTCATAAACACGCTTT